GGCACGAAAAAAGATCCCTCACTGCTCAATGGCTATAAGTGCCGAGTATATAGGACAAATTTGCAGCTCTCCACCGGCAAGAGGTGGCTTCTCCATTTGAGTGAAAAATTCTCGAAGGGGACATTATACAATGTACAATCACACCCCCAAGTCTCAATATATTTACTGACTTCCGGGTGGACGACCTCCTATAGGTTAAGTTTCACCGGTAGAGGGGAGGGTGGCCACTAAACGATTATGATTTTTTGAGCTCTCCTGGCTGATGACAAATACGGTGCGTACTAAAGATATTAAAAATATTAAAATTTTTATGTCAATTAAACTGGAATTCAATTATCCAACAAATAACTTTAATAGAGTTATATTTTTCAGGTGAGAGAACAGTGACGTAGCATCGTTTTTGAAAGTGGGGAGGGGGGGGGGCAACAAGAGAATAAAAATTCAGGCTACACGGCTGAAAACAACTTGACAAGCAAAAAAAAAAAAACAAAACAAAAAAACAAAAAACAGGAAATTGTCCAAACTTGAAAATACATAGGCGTCGGAACCGGGAAGGGGGGGGGGCTTAGCCCCCACTTATTTTTCCGAAGATAGACTTAGTACTTGTATAGACATTGAACATTCCTGCGTAGGTTTAGCCCCCCCCCCTTTCCATGGACACGATGCAGTATGGGTTTGAAATGGGGAAAGTGGTGGTGTTTGGAAAAATATTTGGCACTGGAGTTCGAACTTAACCCCCCCCCCCCCCCCCCCCCCCAAATTGGATTTTCTTTTTTTTTTTTTTGGAAAATGAACATTTCTTTTTTTTTTCTTGTCAGGTTTTTTTGAAGGTCTAAAAAAATTCTAACACTTAGCCCCCCCCCCCCCCCCAAACTTTCAATTTGCTTCCGACACCAATGAAATCCTATTTCGGGGGGCGGGGTGGGTTTTGGGTTAGATTCAACTTCTTCTATAGTATAAAATTTAAATTTTCTTCCTACTATACTACATTAACTTATTTGACCCTTACTCTTACAAAACGTGGGTCGGCCTTTCAATGAACATATTCAGTATGGTATTAAGTTATGTCTGAAAAAAAGAGGCCGCTATTCCTGTGTGCCCAGAGAAAATAAATATGGAGTTTCCATCATTGGATCGGGTGAAATCGGATCCGGCCTTCAGAAGTTCGATTGATAGAGTATTAAGGCGTATTGAAGAATCTCAAGTAACCCCAGCCCGGGTTTGCTTACCTAGTTTTACCAACACTCGTAGCGAACACCACACCACCTAGCGTTATAATGCCGCTCTAAATTTTGACGGTTTGACAACTTCCATTCGTCTTTATTGAATATGCTTCATTGTTTGCGTGACTGAATTAACATTCGTAGTAGAGATAATCCTAATAATTTATTTAAGAAACTGTATAAGTTTAAAATATAGTAGAATGAATTTACAAGAATAAAGCAACAGAGAAGTAAGGACAAAATGAAGAATGATAAAAGTTCGAAGTGAAATGTAATAAAGACGAATATGAAAACATTAAAGTGACATATAATTACAATAATAACAAAGCATAAAGAAGTAGGCAAAATAAGAATAAAAGCAAGATACATAGACTTTTGGCGGTAATTTCCCTTCCATACAGATTTAGCTGCTCTTGCATGGCCTTCAGCGGCGGATATCAATTAAACACTGTGCATCACGTCATTATCTGGTAGAATGAGCTGATGCGTAGCAAAATCAATGCTGGCCTTGTGTTGGTTTAGAAAATCAACCCCAAGAATAAAAGGATGAGGATCTTGAATTCTGTGTACTGAGTGAGAATATGTGACTCCACTGATTGAAACAGGGACTTCAACGACACCAAGAACAGTTAACTGAGCACCAGTAACACCTCTTATGATAGGATGAGTGGGGGGTTGTAATGAAGCACCTGAACATCTAGTTTTAGTGAGGTAAGAACTAGCAACTGTTATACTTGCCCGTGTCTAATAAAGCATTTGTGCGTTTACCCATAATTACTATTTCAATTTTGTTTTGCTTTAGAGTAGTTGCCAAATTGATTGAGGGGGAATGTTTGGATTTTGAAAAGCTTGATCTTACCATGTGCCCATCCTAAGATTTCACTCCAAGAACAGGCGCGAGACCCTATTGTATATAACTACCATTAAGGAAACTGTTAATGCAACGATTTTCAAAATGATTATAAGTTCGACATTTTTCACAAAAATGACCTCTGGCAGGACAATTGAATTTAGAGAAACAAGACCTACTTCCACAGTTTCGGCAGGCTCTGGTCGACTGGTGGGGATGTGTTTGACCGCCGTTAAAAGGTTGTTGTCTGGACTGTTTAGGTTTGGACTGCCATTGCGGAGGGTGGGACTGCTGGGGTGGTGGAGCTTGGTAGTAGGTCTGTCTTGGGTTTGGTTGGGAACGGTTGGTGTTGTCCTGTCGAAAATTGTCTTTGGGCGTTGTACCCATAGCGGCGATAGTTTGTTGCAGCTGGTTTGTAACATCGCACACTGCGGTCATGGCGTTGACAACACTGGTCTCGCGTTCTGATGTTAGTGTCTGGAACTGCATTTTTACGGTCATTTCCGCTATGGAGGCTGCCGTCCGCAAGTTGTCGATGGTCTGTGGGAATTGGGGCATGACAATTTTTTGCACTGCTGGTGTCAAACCTTTCATTATCATCGTTGTTAAACAGTCCTCAGGCACGGTTGAGTCAACTGCAAGTTTTCTTATGTGGGTTATGTATTGTTCCACAGTTTCGCCGTCTTCTGGAATAATATCCACTAGGCCAAGGTTAAATGGAAATTGTGGCCTAAAACGATTTAGGAATGCAGTTTTGAGAGTCTCTAAGGAGGATGTAACGTTTGGCGTTAATGTGAAATACCAGTCATGTGCAGCATCTTTCAAGTAGAAAGATAAATAACTTCCGATATATCGAATGGGACATTCATTAGGGACACAAAGGCCATAAACTGGGTCCAAAACTGAATCCGATGTTTCCCATCATACTTTTCCAAAGTAATATTGGCACGTGGTGATGGGGTTGGAGCTGGAACTTGAACCTGAATTGTCTGCAAGTCTGGACGTAAATATGTTGCCAGTGCAGGTGGAAAGATCTGTTGAGTTGTCACAGACTGCGGAGCATGCTGAAGGGTTTGCTGTACTGGCACGGGTGTTGGTCCTTGTTGTAGGGTTTGTTGATGTGTGGCAGGTTGTGATGCTTGAGACGGTTGTTGAACTGACACTGGTTGTGCTTGTTGAAGGGTTTGCTGCTGCAATGTTGACATTTGCGGCTCTGAAGGTAGGGTGTGTTGAATCATCATTGGTTGTTGAAATGATTCTTGTACCATTGTGGGTTGTAGTGCTGGTAGAGCATTTGCAGATGTAGCTGCAGCATATAATGTCGACCGGGTCGGTGATGTAGGAATGATGTGTCCAGTTGATTGATAAGTCACTGCATGATTAGGTTGTTGGATATCACCAGAGGAATCTGACAGTTCATGTTTGTGTGGGTGGTGGAAGGGGAGAATGCTGAGGAGGCAATGGATTCAAGGCAGCAGATTCTGTTATAGTATCAGTGGTGGCTGTGGCGGCAACTGTTTGATTCTTTTGAGGTGTGAGGTTGATTTCGCAGAGGTATCCCGTTGCTAGTTTAACGGCACATTGGGTTTGTAGCCTAACCGTCGGAAAATAAAATTGTTTGAAGATTGTTGTCTTGTCGTAGGCCCAGGCATGTTGAATCTTACGCAGTTGATAGTGTGAGTCAAGAAATGATGGGTCAGTTGATGATGTTGTGTTGATCTTTGGGGAATTTCTCAGTAGAGCACTTCGACTTGGCTGTGGGAGGTAGGGATCGAATTTCATCTCCGCCACTTATCTCACACGGTTTGGGTATGTTTTTAATTTTAACATGTACCCGATCCTATTGGAGAAAATTTCTGCTTCGTGAGACAATCCTGAATAGGCTGGATCCGAGAAGCTTGAAAAAGAGGCAAAGAGTGGGAATAAAGTTTACGTGTTTATTTAAAGAGCGCAATCTTGAAAGTGATGCATATTGCCCAACTCTTGCTTGTCGTAAAAATTTAGGTCTTGAAAAAGTGACCAATGAAAATTGTAAAAATTGCGGATGTCTAGAAAAATATACCGGTAAGTAAAAAGACAATTAACGCTTAATAATCATTCACCAAAGATAAGTAACTACTTTTTGTTTCCTTGAGGTTAAAAAAGTTTTTAAGTCGGGCCATTTTTTAGCCAGTCGACCGGGAAAGGGCAACAAAACAAGTTTTTAAAGATTTTACCCTCAACTACATGCAGTATATAACTATTTATGCAAAATGCTTCGTTTTCTTCAAGATAAAATTTATTTTTATCAATTCTGTTGCATTTTATTGATAAACCTACACGTTAAGAAAAATGCCACCAGACCAGATTAACTTGACATGTACTGAAAACGGACTTTTTGCTTATAAATTGCGATTTCTAAAAGAAATTAATATACAAAATTCTGTCAGTTACCTAAAACATTTCAACATGAAGCTTTTCTTTATATTTTAAAATAAAAGGACCATTTTGAGTAATTGTTTGGTTGTTGTTTAAGGTCCCTCTCGAGAATTTTTCACTCACATAAAGATGCAACCACTTGCCGATGGAGAGCTCCAAATTTTGTCCTATACTTGGCACTTACAGCCATTGAGCAGTGAGGGATCTTTTCCGTTCCAGCATCTACTGCAACATGGGACCTTGGTTTAAAATGTTTTGAACATATTTCATTGAAAGAATCAAATGGATTGGAAACAAGTTCTTACAACTTACTAGTTCCTCTCTATAAAATGTTTAAATCTAATGCTTGATGGATGATGCACAACGACAGAAGAAAGCAGATAAAGAACAAAGATTCTGCGCTTTTGTCCCTAAAGGACCCCTCATTACCTGTTGACACAATAGCACCTTGTAGGATTTGCATAAACATTTGTACATTCATGTATAGAATCATCTAAATAGTAAAACAATTTGCTGTTGGTACAAATTTATTTCTCGTCTTATAAAGTAATTGTTTAACTGGATCCTGTGCTTTGATTATCTGAGTGAGTCTGAACATGATGATGTTCCTCGATGATGTGGTTGTCTTGCATGCTTCAGACCCTGATAAATTCAAACAAAAAATTGACATATAATAACTTGCAAGAATTCATTCCTTATTATTCAAAAAGAGTTTAAATTAAACAAGAGGTCCATGGGCCACATCGCTCACCAGAGCACTGTGACAAGAAAAAAAGCAAAAATCGGTTCAGTATTGAAAAGTTTAAATGTATAAGTGGTCCTGATATCTACACCTAAAAGGGGGATGTCATATTGGGGGTTGGGGGGTATTATTTGAGGGGTATTATTTGAACAAAAGCTAAGGATGCTTACATATTTCTTTGATCATCCACTGTGGCCTTACCATACCCCCAGGGGCTAGGGGGTCGTTATTTCAATTTGAATGTACACAACCTGTGGATGCTTCCATATAAATATGACCACTCATTGCTTTGCTGTTCTTTTGAAGATGTCATAGGTGGTGAATAGTCAAGTCTCAACCGGAACTCGAACCCAGGGCCTCTGGCATACCGTGCCAGCGCTCTAACCACTGAGCTATTGGGACCCCATATATTGACTGACTTTCACGCACCTGTGAACCCGGTGACATATTCCCCCTCTTTGTAGAAATTCGTCCTCGAATTTTATGAGTTAAGGAAATGCATGAAGCATATTCCAAGGGAACAGTGGGTTATTTCGTTGGGCGCCAAATGTCACAGGTGGTGAAAAGTCAAGTCAAGGGACTCGTACCGTGCCAGCGCTCTAACAACTGAGCTATTGAGACCCGATATATTGAGTGACCTTCTCGCACCTGTGAACATGATGACAAAGAAATTTTACAGATTTTACCTTATATTCCTATGTTAAACTTAGATAAAACACTGTGGCCCCATCCAACTCCATAAGGGTTATTGAACTTAATTTGTGAATATTGGCACGAATTGGCTGTACAAATTCAAAGCTTGCATGTACAGCCAATAGTTCGATAACTCCTTTATTAAATACCTAAAAGATCTCATATTGCATTATCACGGCCAGTAACACGTTAAGTTCCAAGACAAGTACCATTGTCAGAAACCTTTAAAGTTAAGCACTGAAAATGGTTCGTTGTCATGAACATACAGGTAAGGTTATAATAAAATCCATCCGTTGTCATTCAAAACATCCAAGAATTTATACATAATGCCTAAAATTCGAAGTTTCTGACCAATTTCAACATTAAATCTAAAGTTTAGGAAACAGGTACAACATGGAGTATTCCATACAAAGATTGATGTAATTGATACCCACAATATATTTTGAGAAGTTTTGATTGGCAATCACATGCCCATGTGTGAAGTTATGATCATCAGCTCGAAAATTATATATTTCTTATGTTTAATTTGTTAAAATGGTCCTTTTATTTTAAAATATGAAGAAAAAATTCATTTTACATGTGTTAGGCAACTGACAGCCTCTTGCAGGCAACTTGCATTAAGAAATCGCAACTTATAAGCAAAAAGTCCGTTGTAAGTACATGTTAAGTTATTCTAGTCTGGTGTCATTTTCTTAACATGTATTATTTTATCAATAAAATGCAATTGATATGATTAAATATATATACTGACACTCAAAGAAACGCAACACCCTTATTTTAGGGGGGAAGTTATATACAGGTTATAACGATGTATCAAAAAAGTTAGGACATCTTTAACTTTGCCAATTCAGTAATTTAACGGTTGAATGATTTTCATTCCAATACCGAAGTTGATATTTAGCCCTCTTAACAGAAATAAACTAGAAATATGTCCATAGGACATGAATGCCCCGCCGAGGATATTTAGTAAAGCAACATGAAAATTCGTATGTGTATAAAATTTGATCAGTTTGGTTCAGGTAGGGGTTATAGTTACTAAGGAATAAAAATGTAGGTCAGATCCAGCATCCGAAGCAAGTCTGTTAGTGTCCATCCCTAGATGCATCATCCATGCAAGTTTGGTTCAGGCAGGGCTTATAGTTACTTGGGAATGAAAATATAGGTCAGATCCAGCATCCGAAGCAAGTCTGGTAGTGTCCATCCCTAGATGCATCATCCATGCAAGTTTGGTTCAGGCAGGGCTTATAGTTACTTGGGAATGAAAATATAGGTTAGATTCAGCATCCGAAGCAAGTCTGGTAGTGTCCATCCCTAGATGCATCATCCATGCAAGTTTGGTTCAGGCAGGGCTTATAGTTACTTGGGAATGAAAATATAGGTCAGATTCAGCATCCGAAGCAAGTCCGGTTGTGTCCATCCCTAGATGCATCATCCATGCAAGTTTGGTTCAGGCAGGGCTTATAGTTACTTGGGAATGAAAATATAGGTCAGATCCAGCATCCGAAGCAAGTCTGGTAGTGTCCATCCCTAGATGCATCATCCATGCAAGTTTGGTTCAGGCAGGGCTTATAGTTATTAGGGAATTAAAATATAGGTCAGATCCAGCATCCGAAGCAAGTCTGGTAGTGTCCATCTCTAGATGCATCATCCATGCAAGTTTGGTTCAGGTATGGCTTAAAGTTACTTGGGAATGAAAATGTAGGTCAGATTCAGCATCCGAAGCAAGTCTGGTAGTGTCCATCTCTATATGCATCATCCATGCAAGTTTGGTTTGGGTAGGGCTTATAGTTCCTGAGGAATGGACCTGCTTCAAAAACTTTAACCTGGTCACTCATCAGGAAAATGTAGGTCAGATCCAGCATCCGAAGCAAGTCTGGTAGTGTTCATCCCTAGATGCATCGTGCATGAAAGTTTGGATTGGGTAGGGCTTATAGTTCCTTGGAAATGGACCTGCTCCAAAAACTTTAACCTGGTCACTTATCTGGAAAATGTAGGTCAGATCCAGCATCAGAAGCAAGTCTGGTAGTGTTCATCTCTAGATGCATCATCCATGCAAGTTTGTATCAACATGTGAAGTTTGATAACACCAACTTGAATGGTATGTTCAAATCTGAGCTAAACACCAATTTAAGAAAAGTGAGGTCAAGGTCAAAGGAAAGGTCAGGGTCAAAAAATGTTGATGCAGTTGCATAGCTCTCATCAATATCTATCAGCATATGAAGTTTAATGAAAATATCTTGGATAGTTTCAAAGAAACTTAGCTTTGAACAGAGCTAAACGCAAAGTGTGACGGAAGACGGAAGGACGGAAGACGGACATGACAAACACTATATGCCCCGGCCATATTCATGGCGGGGCATAAAAAAATTGCATTTTAATAAAATTTTTGACAATATTTTGGGTTTTCAAGGTTTTGTAGCTGTTAATCAAAAGTATGGTACTAAAATTCCGAGAAAAAAAATCCTTCTTTCTTTTCCGGATGTGATGCCTATTAATTTCCTCAAACAGACTGAAAGCATGCATTTTCATTGCTAATGCTGGAAATTCTCAAAAATAAAGAAAAAGGAGAGTTGCAGATGCAAATATACACTACATAACGACTTTTCGGGCTCATGTGTTTCAAAAGCATGAATGAAAGTTCCTTGACCGGAAGTCCAAGAGTTACTACACTACATCAAATTAGAGAAAATTCGACCTCATTATCTGAAAAACATGCATTTAAAAATGCCCAAGAATATTTATTTTGCTTAGATTAAGACATTGATAAACCTAATGCATGGTAGAAATCGGGCTGCATTTGTTGTACATGGTGGACTAGCACATTTTAATTGAATGATCGGACGGGGGGGATGTTTTAAGATTTATGTGTTACTTTCTAAGTCTAAAGATAACTGTCAATGGATTTTCCGTTATTTCCTGATCATGACAAGGAGCACACTGCGGGTGGACTGATCGGCAGCAGAGGATGCTCACTCCTCCACGGCATCTGATCCCACCTCTGATTTTTTGGAGGTCCGTGTTTGCTCTGCTTCAATTTTGTATTTTTTTAATGAACTTTGGAGCTTGAAAACAGTTCGTTATCTCCATATTTTTCATGTATTACAAATACTTTTTTAAAATTTCTAGTCCTGTATTTTAAAATTAATTATTTAAAATATAGAGTGTCAGGCCATCTTTTACATGTTTGCTTGCCCTCTTCCGAATAGGGTAAAATTATAGGTAGGTGGAAAATATAGACAGGTCGGTATAGGTAGGTGGAAAAATCTGGATTTTTTCAGAAAAATTTAACAATAATATTTGCTGACCAGATAAGAGAAACAAAAAGAAAGAATGTAAAAACACCCCCCCCCCCAAAAAAAATGAGTCGCGCTATTTTTGTCAGTCGATCGGGAGAGGGCAACCAATTTTTCGAAGATGGCTTTACTATAATTACTGAATTGTTTAGCAAGTTTCTATATTTCACTCGACACAGTAAATCAAATTTACGCCATTCTCTGTCTTAATATTAATATATAACTATTTCAAAAAAAAAAAATATGTCTAATCAAAAAAATTCAAATGAACAGAAATATCGATGAAGGAGAAGGATCTTTTACAGTGAGATAGCTTTAAGCAATTGTCGATTGGAATCGGGCCACTGAGTCGCGCATCTTTTAATTTCTTCACTTTGGAAATGTTTTTTTTCAGGAAAAAAGGCTGGAGCCCTTTTTTCTGACCAAAAAAAGCTTTTTAACATTAAATGAAACTGAAGATAACATACATTTAGATTCTTATGACTGGTTGGCTCCCCCACTCCACCCTTCATCCTTTTTTTGAAATTTATCAAAACATACGACCTTCATGATGTATACAGTATAGTAGCGACAATGGGCCGATAACAACAGACTGAATTTTCATATCTAATGCCAAGACAATGGACATAAATTGGAATAAATCAAAAGTTTCACTATTAATTAGTTTGAACTTTTTCTACAAAGGCTTACAACATGTTTTGATACTGTCTGCACCAATTGGTATATACAATATTCTAATTACGAAAAATGTAACGTATATCTCAGAATAAAATTCACATGTAATTTCAACAGGATTAAATATCGCCAATGCAAACTCTTCTTTTATTACTTCATTTTAATGGCTGAAATTCTTACAACACCAAACAGGGTGTCAGCCCTGTTCCTCATTACAATTTCAGACATTGGTTTAAATGATTTAACTTAAAAAATGAAAAACTTCTCACGACCTGTCACCTCAAGTCATGACAACGGATGGATTTTATCATAACTTCACCTGTAAGTTTATGACAATGAACCATTTTCAGCTATTTAAACTTTAAAGGTTTCTGACAATAGCAGTTACGGCACTGTCGTGGAACTTAAAGTGTTCCTGGCCATGATTATATTAATTATATCCACATAATGAATTTGTTAAGGTATGTATAGTGAATTCATTATATCAATTTTTTTCCTAACAAAAGTATTGAGGTAAGAATAAAATATAAAATTTATCTTGGAGTTCAAAAGGTTTAGAATAAATTGAGTATCAGATATTTATACTTACCGAATTATTATCAGTTCAATATTTTAAAACTTAAGATATATACAACTTTGCTAAACAAGATGGCAATTTCGTTATATTTCACTTCTAGGGGACACAAAATCAGTTCTCTATATAGCTGTTAATTCGTTTGCAGAACTTCTTGCCAATTAAAAATAATAAATTAGAATTACAGTGTATCTATCTTTTACATTGTTCACATTATACTTGGATTATTTGCAGAAAAATTAATTTTGACAGCCAAAACTTGTATATAACAAGTTATCTACAGAACATTCTTTATTTCTCCTGTATTGTACCTGATAGTAGCCAGTGTGGTATCCACTCATGTACCAAGCCATTAACATGGAACACATAACCTCATTATCACCATCCACTGGATCCTCAGCTATAAGGGGAGGAGGAGGTGGCACAAAGGGGATATTCTGAAAAACAATGAAAAATTTCATTTTATTTTTTATGTTTATTTATTTTTGTGTAAACCAGAGACATAAATAACAGAGATTCGCAACTCTGCCATTAGCATGTTTATTTACTGAAATACGTGACAGTACATGTACTATCTTAAGAATAACTTTTTGGTCTTGTATTTCTATCTAATGTAAAATTAATTTTAATTCTACCATGTATGGGTGTATGATTTGTAAAGATTTAATGATTTTTAAAAGCAAACTAGGCAAATACAAGAGGTCAATGATCGACAGTTGGCATAATCGCAGCAATATGGCCGACCAAAAGTCACCTGTTGCGATATTTCTTATTTCTCCTTTGTTATTGTACAGCATACTGTAAACCAACTTTTATTCGCAACGATTTTTATTTCGCGATTTACCAGGTGTAAACTATTTCGCGGCGATTAATTTTCGCGATCAAGACTTTTTGGATATATTGTTAATAAACACATACACTTTAAGGACCGGTTCTAACAGTTGTGAATCTCTGTTATTTTTTTCTCTGTGTAAACAAAGCGGACATTGAATCTCATATTCTGTCCATTCATAAAATCTTGCATGGTCATAACTCTTGAAAGAAAAGAGAAAAAAAACAAGAAACAAACAAATTAATTCCAATTTAAAGCAATATGAGCTGCAAGTTTGATGTCGGAAATTTTTGTTGCGATATTGTAATTAACTATTTAAATGACAGAAAAAAGAAAATTTATAATGAACTATATGGAGATAACAAACAGTATTCAGGATCAAAAGTCCATAAAACAATACAAAATAGGAGCAGAGCAAACAAGGACTCTAAAACACCATAAAAGGGATCAATTAGTATGAAAAACATCAGTCAGCATTTGACCTAATGAAAAATTGTATTTGTTGACAAGGTCATTGTATCAACCATAGAACTTTTGAAATGATGACTTTAAAAAAGACTGTTGATATTCTTGTTTCATCATTTTGATTGTCAATAATTTACCTCATTTTAGAAACTGTATATATGTAAAGCATGCTCTTGAGCATCGAATCAACTGAGATACATAAACCCAGTATGCAGGTGATGAAGGTATATTGCTGCATAAGTAAGGGAAGCTGACGATAGAAAAGTTAAAGTCATCATTTTTATCATAGAGCTTGGTTGTTAGATTACCAATAACGTCTTTTTCAAGTAAAATATCCAAATATGAAACAGATGTGTCAGACTCTGTAATATCTTTTATCTCAAGCTCACCGGGATATATTGTATCAACATAAGAATGGAAATTACCATTGTTAATTGACAGTACATCATCCATTATATATCTAAATGTCCAGTTGAAGGCCGCAGTAAGTGTTTTCTTCTTTTCACGTGTAAGATTTTGCACAAATTCTGCTTCATATGAATACAAAAATAGGTCTGCTAATAACGGGGTGCAATTGGTACCCATGGGAATTCCAATAGATTGTTGGAAGACCTGGTCTCCAAAAACAAGATAGAAATCATCAATCAGAAACTCAAGTATCTTTCTGATATCAACTTCAGAGTACTTGTGTGTACAATCAGAATGTTTTTAACAAAATAATTTTGCAAATGACCAATGACAAGGTAAGTAATTTACTAGTTCCATTTTTATTCAAAAAGCAGCTGTCAATGATGTTGAAAAGCCTGGATTTTAATTTATTGTGGGGAATGGTTGTGTATAAAGTTTAAAAGTTGTAAGTTTTTAAGCTGTTGATTTTGGTAACATCTTGTGATTTCAAATGGTCCAAAAGTTCCTTGGAATTTTTAAGTATCCACATCTGATTTACACCACTTCTTGAATACATTGTTGCACAATACTCTTGAAGTTTCTCCTTCACAATTGTTAATATCTTACTTAGGAGTAAAGAAAGAGGCTTGGTTGAACATTTACTGGAACCCCCTATGTACATGTATCTTTGTTTGATGTGATTTTGATGAATTTCTTCCTTAGAAAGGGAACTATGAGTATAATAAGTTGGATTACCACTTGTAGAATTAAATCTGAGTTCTTCTAAAATACAATTTTACATAATGAGCTTTACAAACAAAGACAATGTTGTTACCTGCTTTGTCGGCAGGAACCAGTACATACTGATCGTGTAATTTATCTAATTTTTTTTTCACTTCTGGATTATTAAATACAGAAGGAGAGATGGTTTTCATATTGCCCCTCAATTTTTTAATACACTTCTATTCTTTATTTTTCAGACAGAACTATTCATATGCTTGATTGAAGCAAAACTACGTTATTGTTGTCCTGTACAATATTGGATTTCTTATATAAAAATATAAGGCCTTTAAAGAAATCTTTCTCCTGAAAACAAAAATAATTCTTTATAATTATCAATCCTATCAAACATAATGGTTTAATTTTCATACAGATTTATCATAAAAGCATATTTTAACAGCAAAAATAATTTCTCCAAAATGCAGCTCATATAACACAAAATAAACTAAAAGAAGAAAGGATATTCAAGCCCTGGGATCAATAGCATCTTAAGCTTATTAGTCAAATTCTATGTACATGTACGAGGGCTGTTCAATAAATACATGTAATGTCCTGAACTCTATGACATACAACATAGAAATCATATGACATAAAGCTTGACTTTCTCTCATGATTGAATCTTTAATGAATTGATAACAGTTTATGTGACCACTTTTCATCAAAGTTTCATTGTGAGAAGCTTGAAAACAAGGGCTATTTGTGACATTGCATTAACAAGAGACCCACAGACCTTCTATTAGTCACGTGAGTATCATGTAACAACTTTCCAACAATTGAACTTGGTTCATGTTTTAAACCAGAGGCCATGAAATTCCAAATTTTGAAAGAGGCACCATTGCTTATCATATCTATACACTAAGCATGCTTACTTTGATTACTTAATACCCAGAGGTAGATCATCAGGGTAACAAAGAGGAAATGCATTTCCACTTTACAACCAATTGTGCACCTCACCCCAAAGGAACCACTGACCCTGGCGCCACATATTTCAAAATTTTGGAAATTTAATCATAAATTTTATTTCATCAATTAATGGTTAATTAATACCAAAGAGCAGATTTCAAAGTTTATTTTCAGACTATGTACCCCTCCCTCCCAGTACCCTTGACCAAGGGGCCCTGAAATTAACCATCTTTGAAGAGGCACCTTTCTTCATCATAAACATGTACTTAGATCATTGGCATAATACCCAGGACCAAAGGAAAAGATTTTCTAAGAATTTATGCATTTTCACTTTAAAATCGATAGAGCCCCACCCTAACATCAGAACCCCTGACCCTGGGGCCACAAAATTCACAATTTTGGAAGAGACAGCCTTATTCAACATAACTATGTACTTGGTTAGTTTATTTAATACCCAGGAACAGAGGAGAGATTTTTAAAGAATTTATGCATTTTCACTACATAATCAATAGAGCCCCGCCCTAACACCAGAACCCCAGACCCAGGGGCCATGAAATTCACAATTTTGGAAGAGAAATTCTTGCTCATCATAACTATGTATGTAGTTCATTGGTTTAATACCCACCCTAAGAAGATTTTTAAAGAATGTATGCATTTTCACTATATAATCAATTGAGCCCTGCCCTAACACCAGAACTCCTGACCCTGGGGCATGAAATTCACAATTTTCAAAGATATATTCTTGCTTATCATAACTATATATGTATATAGTTCATTGGTTTAATACCCAGGAGCAGAGGAGAAGATTTTCAAAGAATTTATGCATTTTCACTATATAATCAATAGAGCCTTGCCCTTGCACTAGAACCCGACCTTGGGGCCATGAAATTCAAAATTTTGGAAGAGACGCCTTATTCAACATAACTATGTACTTGGTAACTTTATTAAATATCCAGGAGCAGAGAAGAAGATTTTCAAAGAAATAATGCATTTTCACTATAAAATCTATTTAGCCCCGCCCTAGCACTAAAATCCCTAATTCTGGTGCCATGAATTTCACAATTTTGGTAGAGGACTCAATGCTTATTACAATCATGCCAACAGTTTGACTGCTTGATGTCCAAGAGTAAAGAAGATTTTTAAAAATTGCATTAATTTTAAAGGTTTTGGCCCCACCTATCAGGTCCCAGGGGGACAGGGACCATGAAATTCATAATTTTTGTTCCCCTTCACCCACAGATACTTTATGCGAAAATTGGTTGAAATTGGTTGAGCTGTTGCAGAGAAGAAGCTCAATATGTTCAAATGTTAATGCACGACGCACAATGCACAACGCACGACAACTGATGAAAATGAATAGCAAGAGATCACTTGAGTTTGGTCACCGGAGTGGCAAGAAGTGGAGCTGAAATGAGTCATCAGCTGTAAGGATAACGGTGCATGGACACAGATTTGAAGTTAATATCTTCTGTATAATATCACGACATATATATTTTAAAGATATATATGCCGTATTAGTGTTTTATTTTAAAACAAATTAATATATGTGGTGTCTCATCAAGTTATATAAGTTATATACTTTCTGCAAATAAGACAATTCCACTCCATTACTTTTAAAAGTTATGAAATATTATTTGGTAAAAATTATTTTTTCTCCGAGTCGGATAATAAACCGCCTCTTATTGAAATATTCATGGTCTCGCATGCTCATAGCAAACAATGGTCCAGTTTCGTGAATGAACCGAAAAGCATGATGGTCTACTACCTTTTTTACTACAAACACATGAGTGTCAATACGTGAGCACACCTCAGAGTTGGTTGCTTTTTGTACCGAGGAATAATCACGGTCAATTGTCTTTTCACTAGCAGTACAGCACGGGAAACTCTAAACAAACGGACCTGTACAATGGAGTGGGGAAAATTTTAATCTTTATCATTGTTAATCATTTGTATGCAAATATGAGCATGAGATTAGCAGATAATAATGTATATAATGCATTAAACTTGTAAATGCTTGGGAAAATGCATCAAGTCTTTTCAAGAGCGATTTAAAAAAATAGCCTTTTCGAAAAACACATGTAGTATTTTATGTAGTAACCCATAAATGCATTAAATGCAACTCATTGAGCTGATTGGTCGATTTGTCAGTCATATTGGTTCCTCACTGAACAGACGTCACAAAAAATAGTTGCCTCGACCTGATGATTCTCGCGATGCTTTTCCCGCACACATGCGCAGATCCAGGATAAACGTCAGTCCTTTATAAATATGCATGAGAATATTGTGTTCTTTTCCCGACCAGTACTTTGTTAATACCGAATAATATTTCGTCCAATTTGCAAGAATGCTTCATTTTTGATAAATATCTATTCGGTTTCAGCTGTGCAAAAATACGGTTTAACACGGCATACATATCTTTAATAGCATTTCACACAAAAATATATTAAAAATTTTAGTTCATCAGATCTTAAAGTTATTGAAACTTCAAATTCTTGGATGGGTTTGATTGATACATCCTTGCACTCTCACAAATTTTACTTTTATTCTTAACACTAAGGAAAAGTGGCAATCTTAATATATTTTTGTGTGAAATGCTATTAAAATATATAAGTCCTAATATTATACAGAAAATATTAACTTCTGAATCAAATCTGTGTCAATGCACCTTTAAAATAGAATACTGTACATGGCATATTTGAATTGAGTACAATCTCTGGATATGGATTTGTTTGCTTAATCTTGTATTACATGATGCATGTATGACATCATGCTTCATACATCAGTACTGTGTATTGTATTTATTAACGAATTCCTAGTGGTATTCATGAATTAGCACATTGTTGTCAGTGCTAAAGCAGCTAAATATGAAGCTAGCTTTAATAACTACACCTACAGTATTCATAAATGTGAATTTGTCTAAATGCACATGTAAATATGCTATATTTTAAGATATACAATTGAATTTTTACAAAAAAAATCAATAGAATGATTAAAATGGATCACAATTTAAATGTGATAAAATGAGAAATTTGTCAAACACTTTTTCCATGTACATGCAGACACCAGAATGATCAATACATAGGATGTCTCTTATTTCTTTAATAAGGTGTCAAGATTTCCAATTTTTCTGAAAATTATTCATTTATCTTGTGTATTTTGATACAAGTCAAAACTGGTTTCTTGGGTGTTTGGTACTTCCTAAAAATTATCTTCTGACACCACATTTTAAATACATTTTAACTTACATGGGCAAGTGAAGTTGGTATTGGGGGTACATCAGGCCATGGAAATCCTCCACTCTGAGTTATGTGAGGATGTGTTCTGCCATGTGTAATGCTGGCATCTTTACTGGAGGCATCTGATTTATGTCCACACCAGTCCATGCTATCTGCTAAGCTCCCAGCCTGCAATATACATGTAGTTCATATGGTCATTTTAATCAAGTACATGTACCATTAAACCTGGTCATCTCAAACTTGACAGGACCTAGATTCTGATTCCAGATAACCACAATGAAAACCTAAAGAATGAGAAGGTGGGACTATCAATCCATAGTATATGAGAACACATATTGTGGCTTCTTCCTATCATTGGGGGTCATGATTTGAACAAATTTAATCAACACTATAAGAATGCTTTCATATAAATTATGGTTGGGAAGATATTTTGAGCATTGCAGATAATTAATGCTGATGTATCCAAGTTTCAATGTAAGTTTCATGTCAATTTGAACAGTACTTCCGATTTTATGAGTCTCTAAAATTGTCCATGGGAGTTTCTATATGTTAAATAGAAATCATGCATTTCAAATTTTTTCTAAATTTAACAAGGTGTTCTTGTGAAATTCAGACTATAGAATGACTGTGACATTGCTACGACTTGATTAGGTTTTGAAAGTAAAATTCTGCATTACACGAGACCCTGGAGAGCCTTGAATCGCTCTTCTGGTAAATTGTACAATCTATCACTTCTATTTGAAGTAACCGGTGTATTTAAATAAAGCCTTAAAATTCCAAATGCCATCATGACCTACATTTCGATTAAAACTCTCTGAAAGCCCAGGATAATCAACTGACAAAGTGTGATGATTCTAAGCCCCTTATTATTTGAAATAATATTAAGATATAGCCATCAGATTTCAAAAGTAGGTCACAGTCACCTATTTTTTGTTAAACAAACTTTGAGACCCAAAATGCCTCAAATGACAAAGTTTGATTATCTGAATTCTTGCATTTTTTGAAATATCAAAATAATGCCTTCAAATTCCAAAAGTATGTCACTATGACCTATCTTTTATTTACACATTCTGAGGACCCAAGATGCATCAGTTGACAAAGTTTGATGAATCTAAGCTTAAAAGTACCTGAAATATTTTAAAATTTGCAAATTTTTTTTAAAAAAAAAGGTCACTGTGACCTAGCTATGTTTCAGTTGACATTCTCTGAAGACAACTGACAAAGACTGATGATTCTACTTAGCCATTCATGACCTGAATATCTAAATAGAAGCATGATATTTGAAAAAAGAAGTCACTGTGGCCTTCTTTTTGTTTGGCATTTGCCAAGGACCTATGATACTTGTACTGAAAAAGATTGTAGATTCTAGGCAAAATAGGACCTGAAATAATTTAAGATACAACATAAAATTTCAAGAGTAGGTCAGTGTGACCTACTTTTTGGTTGAAGTTCCTTGAAGACCCAAGATGCGTTAGCTGACAAAGTTTAATGATTCGAAGCCAATAAATACCTGAGATATTTATAAATATAGCCATTAAATTTTAAAATTATGTCTACATGACATACTTATTATTGACGTTCTTCACAGACCAAAGTTGCATCAGCTGACAAAGTTTGATGATTCTAAACAAAACAATTAAGGCCATAATAAATAAATTGCTAGATTCTCATCCGAATTTTTTTAAAAATCGAGGCGGGCGGGCAGCTTTTATTTTATATTTTTTATTTTTTCAATTTTGCAGATTTTTTTATTGACCTGGTCAATCGGTGTAATTTTATCTACAATACCTGAATAAAAGTCATAGTCAAGGTTCAATTATCTCTTACTACACATCATCACCAATCTTTTTCAACCAATGACCCTTGTTTAAAGTATAAACGCATGTATTACAGCAATATTACCATCTTTTCAAAATCATGTCGACTTTCGCAGGATTTAAAACGAAAGTAGAATGGTATATGAATACCGATCCCGATCAGAATTAAGACGAAGAAAAACAGAAATTTAAAAAATCGAGGCGGGGGTATAAAATCGGGGCTGGCGGGGATGAGAATCTAGGAATATTTTTATTATGGCCTAACTGATATATTTAAATATAGCCATAAAATTTCAAAAGTAGGCCACTGCGACCAACTTTCTGATAAAGTAGCCACCGTTACTAACTTTTTGGCTGATGTTCGTTCAAGACCTAAGATGCATCAACTGACAAAGTTTGATGATTCTAAGCCAATAATTACCTGAGATATTTAAAAATACTCCCCCCCCCCCCCCCGTTAGCTATTAAATTTCAAAATTAGGTCACCGGACGTACTTTTTGGTTGAAGTTCTTCGCAGACCCAAGTTGCATTAGCTGACAAAGTTTGATGATTCTTAACAAAACAATTAACCAATATATTTAAATATCTATAGCCATAAAATTTCAAAAGTAGGCCACTGTGACCAACTTTCTGATAAAGTAGCCACCGTTACTTACTTTTGGCTGATGTTCGTTCAAGATTCAAGTTGCATCAACTGACAAAGTTTAATGATTCTAGGCCAATAATTACCTGAAATATTTAAATATAGCCATACAATTTGGAAAGGTCACTGTGATCTACTCTTTGATTGATGTTCTTCAAAGACCTTAGATTCATCAACTTTCAAAGTTTAATGATTCTAAGCCAATAATTACCTGTGATAATAAATATAGGCATAAAATTTCAAAAGTATGTCACTGTGACCTACTTTTCAGTTGACGTTCTTCAAAGATACAAGATGGATCAACTGACAAAGTTTGATGATTCCAAGCCAATACTTACATGAGATATTTAGATATAGCCATTAAATTTCAAAAGTAGGTCACTGTGACCTTGGTTGACATTGTCCAAGGACCCAAGATGCATCAATTGACAAAATTTGATAATCATAGTTCTGAAAGTATTCAAAATATGCCTTTTAAACAATTTGTAAACAAATGCCTGCAAAATTTGAAAAGTAAGTCACTGTGACATACTTTTTGATAAATTTGTTTTAAGGCCCCAATATGTATCAACTTAATACAAGTTTGATAATTCTAAACTTCTCAGTATCTAAAAAATGGCCTTAAATGTTTTCAAAGATATGAGCCATAAAATTCAACAAGAGGCCCATGGGCCATATTGCTCACCTGAGTAGCTTTGACCATGCTGTTCTTTACCAAATTTCCCCCTTGTAATACCTATTGTGACACCACCTTACCCCATGGCTCATAATTTGAATAATTTAAAATGTGTCATGATTCGAGCAATTTAGAATCTACAATACCCCTGGATGCTTCCACATAAGTTTCAGCTTTTCTGGCCAAGTGGTTTCCGAAAAGAAGATTTATTAAAAAGTTTTATCAGTTGAAGATCAGTTGAATTATTTTGTGCATTATAATACCAGTGAAAAGTCAGAAATTCCCTACTTTCACTTTCATTTTCAGAGGTTCCAGCACACAGACACATTTTGCCGGAAAACAAATCTCGAGATTTTAACTAGGGAAAGACAACTTGATGTGCTTTGATTTGAGGGGTCACTCACTGCTGAATGAAAATTAGGAACATTGCTATGGGAAAACAATTGGTGGACTGTACCCAATTATGTTGCTGTATATAGATAAGTAAAGTTGATACTACAGGGATTCCAACAACCTTGTTTAAACTGGACACTCTATAAAATCTAGGCTCAATATAATGACCTTGTTAGGAAATACATGTATAACTTATCCTTGGGTCATATTTTGCTGAGTCAGACTTTTTTCATATCATTTGGCTTTTGTTTTTATACTGAATTACACCATGGGATGTACCCTCTCCCCGTTTAATACACAGGGTCCATGCCTGGTTTGACAGGTCAGTAGGAGATGCTTATACTTCTACTAAACACATGATACCATTTCTGGAATTTCAAGGGGTCTGTTTACATAATTTTGCATTTCAAAGTTTCTCCAAGGTGTAATTAAAACTAGAACTGTCCAAACGGGACAAAATACCCCCCGCTGGGTTTTTCAGAGGTAAGTTTTTCCATAATAAAGATATGTATCACACATGAATTATGAAATTTTTCTTCCAGTGACCTTGAAGTTCCCCAAATGACCTTGGGTCAAGGTCATGACACACCCTTGGGTCATGGGCAATCTTTGTGTGAAATGAGAACCTACCAAGTTTATCCATAAGAAAGATATGGACCAGACACAAAATATGAATTTTACTTCCAGTGACCTTGAACTTCTCCAAATGACCTTGGGTCAAGGTCATGACACACCCTAAGGTCAAGGGCAATCTTTGTTTGAAATGAGAACATACCAAATTTATCCATAAGAAAGATATGGACTGGACACAAATTATGAACTTTTTCTTCCAGTGACCTTGAACTTCCCCAAATGACCTTGGATCAAGGTCATGACACACCCTAAGGTCATGGGCAATCTTTGCGTGAAATGAGAAACTACCAAGTTTATCCATAAGAAAGATATGGACTGGACACGAATTATGAACTTTTTTCTTCCAGTGACCTTGAATTTCCCCAAATGACCTTGGGTCAAGGTCATGACACACCCTTGGGTCATGGGCAATCTTTGCATGAAATAAGAACCTACCAAGTTTATCCATAAAAAAGATGTAGACAGGACATGAATAATTAAATTTTTCTTCCATTGACCTTGAACTTCCCCAAATGACCTTGGGTCAAGGTCATGACACACCCTTGGGTCATGGGCAATCTTTGTGTGAAATGAAAACCTACCAAGTTTATCCATAAGAGAGATATGGACCGGACACAAATTATGAACTTTTTCTTCCAGTGACCTTGAACTTCCCCAAATGACCTTGGGTCAAGGTCATGACACACCCTTAGGTCATGGGCAATCTTTGTGTAGAGTAGTAGATTCTAATGTCCCTCCGTAAGAAAGATATGGACCGGACACGTTTGCACAGACAGACGGACAGCTAGGCAGACAGACAGACGGACAAGGTCATTCCTATATACCTCCCCAAACTTCGTTTGCGGGGGGGGGGGGGGGGGGTATAAAAAATCTCTAGAGGACTGGACCTGACTCCAAATCCTGGTAGTAAAAGTTTATCTATTTCTTTGCGTTTTCCCTCTTTTTTGAAACCCAAATAATACGGAAACACCCAAGAAGGTGGAAAGGCCTCTAACTGCTCTAACAATTAGATTACTAGTTGTAATAAACCTCCCAATATGTAACTATATTGCATAAATGGTATTGATTTCTTTTTAATATCATTCAATACTTCAGCAAAATTTTATATAAAATCAAAAGAATTTTTCACACCTCTGCAGCAGACAGTTTCTGTTGTCGTGGTCTTCTACCTGGGGCTGATCTCAGTTTGTCTAGAATCTGTTCCTCTTCATTTCCATACCCTCTATATCTAACAATACAGGTCCCAGCTGACTGATCTACTGAGAGTATCTCTGCATCATATACCAATCCATCCTCAGAAAAAATCGCTCTGCACTGATCTCCAGGCTTCCACTTCATCAATAAAATATATATAAAAGTTCACTTGCAATTACTGTAATTTTATACATGCAATTTAGTAAGAATCATATTTTAGCATCTTTTGCACTACACTTCTTGTCTTTATATGACTTTATATACTATTCATTACTTTTTTATTCCTGAGAACTTTATTTAGCATAATTATGCAAGAGGGTGTGCTCATGCAAATATCATTCCTTTATATATTCTTTATTCCTTAAGATTATATAAAGCAGTAACCACAGTTGTGAAAATTTTGTCTTGCTAATAAGGAGTAAATATCTAATCAAAATAAGGGTGTTGCGAAAATTAATCATGATAATGTATAATTTAAACAAATGTGAGTACAATTCAAAGCTGAAGCTTTTTTGTTCAATGTGCAAATATTTACTGTAGTCTGGTATTAAGAAAGATTAAGCTGGCTCTTGAGTGCACTAATCTATGTACCATACTTGCCAACCTCCAGCATAAAAAAATCTGGTCATGACCAGATTTTGAAAGTAAAAAATCTGGTCATAACGCGTAACGACATTCACGACATATTTACCATGATTAAGGGGACGAAGGATGTATGGTCACATGACTCAGTTTAATTACATCATAATCTCTGATAATATGTACAAAACAAGATTGAAAACACAGTACTTGTACAATTTTTTGACTGTTTGTTTGCGTTCACCATCTAGTATAAAAATATCTGAAAACATTTAAAATTTCTTGCAAATATTATCAAATTACGGAATAGATTAATCCACTCTTCTGTTTCCCTACACTGCACGTCCAGCGCGTCGTTGACGTCATAGTGGATCTCTTAGTGCAGTAAAATCATACACGGTAAAAACGGGTAGTATAAAATCATAAAAATGGGTCATGATCTGTACATGGTGGGGTATTCTGTGAATTACAGAACGCAAAAAATATTTTTACATGGATGTTGATGGAAATGTTCTGTGGGTATATCTTATTTGGCTTATTTGAGAAATGTGTGACGTCATAGTTGGGTTTTCCCGTACTCGAGAAATGTAAACATGACACGTGTTTCTCATGATCATGCTCCGTGCAATATTGAGCTCAGCTTCACCATTCAATATTTTTACAGTTAATCAATACCATGACGAACTTGCACTTCAACATAAATTTTCAAATATTGAATGACAGGATTTTTTGCAAATTAATTTTTTTGTTGTTTAAGTTGTCTTAAAAAGTACGTAAATTTCTGTCTCCAGATGCACTGTGACAAAAGAATCTTAATTTTTCGAATTTTTAACCCTATTTATACTCTGAAATATTTTAAAAGACACATGTTCGCTGACATATTTTTTATGTATGTTGAAAAATTCAGTTATGGACCGAGCGATGGGCCCAAAAACATGGAGAATCAAACGTTCACTCATACACTGTGGGGTATAGTAATTGTCACTCAATATTTCAAAAATAAGTCTAGAAACCTAGGCCTAGAAAAAAAATATGTTTGTTTCCACTTTCCCGACCGACCCTAATTTATAGTGCCGACCCTAAAAATTTTTTTAATGCTTTTGTCCCATGTAGTGCAAGATTTCACCCAGGGAATTATAGTCTCCAACTTCGCAAGCTTTTCAAGACAGAAAGAAGTTTGAGTCACCTTTCTATTATAAGTTTAAGTCACAGAAATGCTTGAAAACACCATTTCTTTTGTCATTAATGTTACTTCTATACACGGTTTGATTAAAGAAGTAAAAATAATTTTCAAAAAAAAAAAAATTGCCTACCGACCTACCCTATATTTTTTCAGCCTGAAAGCGGAAACAAACATACTTTTTTTCTAGGCCCTATTAATATATCTGCTTTAATGTATGTGGGACATATTAAATTACGGATATACAATATATGAAAAAAATTGAACGACACGTATTTTTTCAACTAAAGGTCCTTCTTCCACTTAAATTATATATATATAATTATATATAAGTATTTGTGGATTGAGAATTCTTTTATTAAAAAAGGCTTTAACTTAGTACATTGACAAAAAATTCATATATAATTTAATTTACTTTACATGTTAAAAAAGAGCATTGAAGTTTTCATATTTCAGTATTGACCTGAATTAAGTGTGCATTTTTAAAAAAAAAAAAAGCCTTTTCAGTTTCTGAAAGTATTCCAATTTTGGTTTTGAAGTTATTTTTCCTCTCTCTTAATTAATTAACTAGTGCAATATGTAATAAATGTGCAGTTAGGCCTACATTGTCTTCGATCACTTTATTTTATCTAATGAAAGTTGTTTCCCAAGATTCCTTGGTATGTACATAAATATTGTTTCTCTTTTCCTTGGTTCAATCAGAGACATGTCTCTGGTTCAATTTGTTCCTGCTGGCCCTGATAACTATCTAGTACTATCGGAAGCTATTTTAAATTGACTTCAAACATTGATTTGTCAAAACAACATCCAGTTAATTGTTTACACCTGCTCTGATAATTAATCCATCGGCATTGTTTAGGTAGATCTAAGCTTGGGTTGTAAATGGAAGTTAAAAGTGCAACCTAATTTACGAACCAAATCTGGAAATCGGGAGATTTTCGGGTTATTCGGCAAAAATCGAGTGAAAAGCATGACCCGGCGGATCATAAAAAATAATCGGGTTACGGGTTGAAAAATTGAGTGCAACCCGACGAAATCGGGTGAGTTGGCAACTATGCTATGTACATGTTCATCTACGTACAAAGGAATTCAAACTTTCAGGTGATCGTATGCCTAATTTGAACAAATTTGATTCTGCACTACTTGAGAATGCTGCCTTATAAATATGACTAATCATAGGGTTGCTTTTATTTCAAAAATTTTCAAAGATCTTTCCTAAGTATTCCAATGTGAAAGTTGGATTGTCCCACCCGATACCCAAGATCATTATTACATCCTGCTGATAATTCCATACTCACGTTTGAGAATTTTTTTTATTACCAGTACCTGCTTTTTTTTCCTGTGTCTCTTCTTCCTTTTGCCACCCTTGCGTTTTTTATCTGTTGTGACTGGCTTTTCCTCGTCTGTCAAACCTTGGTCATCGTTTATATGAGCCTATATTAAAATTGACTTTTGAAGATAAAAAGATGAGAACAGGAACATTATGCAAAGAATTAACATTCATAAATACCTTAAAACAGGAGGCCAACGGCACCTTATAGGTCAACTGAGTATCATGTAACAACTTTCCAACAATTGAATTTGGTTTGTGTTTTAAACCAGAGGACATGAAATTCACAATTTTGAAAGAGGCACCATTGCTTATCATAATTAAACACTTAGCATGCTTACTCTGGTTACTTAATACCAAGAGGTAGATCAGAGTAACAAAGAGAAAATGCATTTCCACTTTATAACCAGTTGTGCACCCCACCCCACAGAACCACTGATCCTGGTGCCACATATTTCAAAATTTTGGAAATTTTATCATAAATTTTATTTCATCATAAATGGTTGATTAAAACCAAAGAGCAGTTTCAAAGCATTAATTTATTTTCAGAATATGTAAGCCCCCCTCCCCCTCCGTACCCTTGACCCAGGGGCCCTGAAATTTTTTCATCATAAATATGTACTTAGATCATTGGCATAATACCAGAAAAGGAAAAGTTGTTTAAAGAATTTATACACAAGAGAATGCTTCAATATAACTATGACCAATAAGTGCTTTGCTGTTCTTGAGAAGAAATTTTTTAAAGATTTTCTTCTGTATTCCTTTGTTAAACTTTGATCCCCTATTGTGACCCCACCCTACCCCTGGGGGTCCATGATTTGTACAAACTTGAATCTATGCTACCTGAGGATGCCTTAACATAACTATGACCACTCATGGCTTTGCTGTTCTTGAGAAAAAGATTTTTAAAGATTTTTCCTATGTATTCCTGTGTTTAACTTTGATCCCCCACTGTGGCCCCACCCTTGTCCCCGGGGGACAATTGAATGCCCCGCCGAGGGTTTATTAGTAATGCAACATGAAAATGTGTATTAGTGTATGAAATTTGATCAGATTATCTTGAATAGTGATGCAGTTGAATTGCTTATATAAGTATATATCAGCATATGGAGTTTGACACTAATTTCTTTAAAGTGAGGTCAAGGTCAAAGGAAATGCCAAGGTCAAAAAATGTTGATGCAGTTGAAAAGCTTTCATCAGTATGAATCAGCATATGAAGTTGAAAAAATATTATGAATGGTTTATTAAAAACTGACTAAAACACAATTTGATAACAGTGAGGTCAAGGTCAAAAAAAGGTAAAATTCTAAATTATTGATGCAGTTGAATTGCTTACATCAATATGTATAGCATATGAAGTTTGACACTAAACACTGCTTACCTGCATGATAATTGAAACATTTATCCCCTTTTGGGATGGGCCCAGATGGTGCGTCTTCACTACTTACTTTTGTCAATAGATCAGTTTTGAGTCTAGCATTAATATACAATTTCATATGAACATCACCCCATGCATAATTTAGGAAAAGTGAGGTAAAGGTCAAAGGAAAGGTAAAAAATGCTGATGCAGTTGAATATCTCTCATCAATTTGCATCAACATAAGCAGGGCTCTACATTAACGCTTGTCCGCTTGTCCGGTACCAATGAAAAAAAATTACTGACAAGTGAATATTGCTGGGCACTTGTCCGATTGGACAAGTGATTTTTCTATGTAAAGAAGTCTTCAAATAATAATAATCATAAAATAAAAAACAACTATTGGAAAGTTTATCGAGTGAAAATGGAAGCAGTACATAAACCTGAATTTCGATCCCGATATCAATCGCTATGCAAGTTCAATCGGCAATCCTCGGCTGACTCCGCTACGCTCCATTCAAACCATGAGGTACGAGTCATCCGAGGAACTATGCAAGTTCACACTATTGGGATCGATGTTCACTAATTGCAGCCATACTATTGCATGGCATGGATCTTATGACGTTTGCGAGTTTGGAATATATTTGATTGATATTACAGATTCACTTGCGAACATTTATGCTGTTGTCAGGACAGGAAGTCTAGATAAAATTTTATTTTATATGTGTTTGTCTTATTTATCAATAACTACAGTAATAAATCAAGCACATTTAATTTTTTAATTGTTTTCAAGTTGACATAATAAGACATTCATTGAAAATTTTTTCGGACAAGTGAAGTTGAAGTTCAGACAAGTAAATATCTTGGTCACTTGTCTGAATGGACAAGTAGGAAAAAAAGTTAATGTTGAGCCCTGATATGAAGTTTGATAAAAATATCTTGAATGATTTCTTTAAAACTGACTTAAACACAATATGATAAAAGTGAGGTAAAGGTCAAATGAAAGGGCAAGGTCAAAAATGTTGATGCAGTTGAATAGCTCTCATCAGTATGTATCAGCTAAAGTTTGATAAAAATATCTGGGATGGTTTCTTAAAAACTGAGCTAAACACTAATTTAAGAAAAGTATGGTCAAGGTGAAAGGAAAGGTCGAGGTCAAAAATGTTGACGCAGTTGAATAGCTCTCTTCAGTATGTATCAGCATATGAAGTTTGATTACACTATCTTGAATGGTATCTTTAAACTAAGCAAAGCACTTATTTAAGAAAAGTGAGGTCAAAGTCAAAAGAAAGGTCAAGGTCAAAAATGGTGAGGCTGTTGAATAGCACTCATTAGTATGTTTCAACATGTGAAGTTTGATAACACCATCTTGAACAGTATGTTTAAAACTGAGCTAAACACTAATTTAAGAAAAGTGAGATCAAGGTCAAAGGAAAGGTCAAGGTCAAAAAATGTTGATGCAGTTGCATAGCTCTCATCAATTTCTATCAGCATATGAAATTTGATGAAAATATCTTGGATAGTTTCTTTGAAACTGAGCTTTGAACTGAGCTAAATGCAAAGTGTGATGGAAGGACAGACAGTGTTGTAAAAAAATCTTCCTTGACCTGAGACAAGATAGGTAGAAGTAAGTAACCCATACTGACATAGAATAAAACTGCTAAAGATATGTTGCTAATATCCATGTTTACAATGTTTTCACTTCACTTAGCTATGATGTCTCAACCATTCAACTATGATGTCGTGTAGCCTATGACTGTATACTATTACATAAAGACAGATGCAAAGAAAAAATCAAAGAAAATGAATATGGAATTTATTCGTGAGACAGGATTTTTAAATATTTTATAAAAATCAAAAGATCCTGTCCCACTCATGAAATAAATTCCATATTCAACTACAAAACATTGAATATCCTCTATACATATGCTCATATTTAAGAAATCTAAACATAAAAAAAAAAATGCAAGGATTTGAAATAATTATGATTAAACTAGAGGTGCTGTGAGCACTGAGCTCACTAAATGATACCCCCTCCCTCCCATGATACCATTATAATGGCAAAGTCCATGTTTTGTTCTGGGGGACAAAAAATAAATGACAGATCAAAAAATAAAATAAAGGTGCACAATGGCGTTATATTACAAGAGGCCCATGGGCCACACCACTCACCTGAGCACATGAGCTAGTTAAAAAACACAAATCAGCTCAGTACTGAAAAGTTTACTTGTTGGGGGAGGGGGGAGAAATTTAAATATTGTCATTATATCAATAAAGCATACATGTATAATTTTGCCGTACTTGAAAAGAAGAGTTTCAAAGATTTTTCCTATATATTTCTATGTAAAGATTAGATTGCCCATTATGGCCACACCTTACCCCTAGGGGTCATGATATGAACAAATTTGAATTAACTCTGAGGATGTTTCCATATAAATATCACAAATCATAGCTTTGCTGATCTTGAGTAGATGACTTTAAAATGATTTTTTCTATGTATTCCTATGTAAAACTTTGATTGGCTATTGTGGCCCCGCCTTACCCCTGGGGGGGTCATGATTTCAACAAACTTGAATCTACACTACCTGAGGATGCTTCCACATGAGTTTCATCTTTGTTGGCCCAATGGTTTTGGAGAAGAAGATTTTTAAAGATTTTTTTTACCTATATACATGTACTAGTATTCCTATGTAAAACTTTGATCAGCCATTGTGGCCCTGCCCTATCCCTGGGGTCATGATTTGAACAAACTTGAATCTACACTGCCTGAGGATGCTTCCACATGAGTTTCTTTTTTCCTGGCAAAATGGTTCTGGAGAAGAAGATTTTTCAAGGTTTTTTTCCTATATCTTTCGATGTAAGACTTTGATCAGCCATTGTGGTCCCGCCCTACCCCTGGGGGTCATGATGTGAACAAATTTGAATCTACACTACCTGAGGATGCTTCCACATGAGTTTCATCTTTCCTTGCCCAGTGGTTTTGGAGAAGAAGATTTTTAAAAGATGCCATTAATTTTTCATTAATTCATCATTATCTCCCCTTGGAAAAGGCCTTGGCCCTTCATTTGAACAAACTTGAATCCCCTGTACCCAAGGATACTTTGTGGCAAGTTTGGTTGAAATTGGCCCAGCGGATCTTGAGAAAAAGATGAAAATGTGAAAAGTTTATGACAACGACAACAACAACAATGACAGACGACGGACAAATTTTGATCAGAAAAGCTCAGGTGAGCTAATAAAAAATCTGTGAAAGCATCATTAAACTTTATTCAGTGGTATACGAGAAGTTGCGGCTAAGAGATTGGTACTTTTCAATATTATAGAAAGAATGGCAGTGTCCATGTTTTGCTATGGGAAACCCGAAATGTGTATTCGATCAAGAAACAAGAGGCCCACGGGCCTTATAGGTCACCTGAGTATTGTGCAACAACTTTCAAACAATTAAATTTGGTTTGTGTTTTAAACCAGAGGACATGAAATTTGCAATTCACAATTTTGAAAGAGGCACCATTGCTTATCATAATTATAGACTTAGCATGCTTACTCTGTTTACTTAATACCCAGAGGTAGATCAGAGTAACATTAAGAGAAAATGCACTTCCACTTTATAACCAGTTGTGCACCTCATCCCAAAGGAACCACTGACCATGGGGCCACATATTTCAAAATTTTGCAAATTTTATCACAAAATGGTTGAATAATACCAAAGAGCAGATTTCAAAGATTTATTTATTTTCAAACAATGTA